TTTAATGTTAGGCACTGATATCACAACCAAGGGGGCTGACCATGCCAGCGGTTTGAGACAGACGGCAAAAGTTTAGTACCTAGGACTGATGACTTGGAATATAGTGATTATTCAGAAGAATTGCTTTTAGCAGACTTCAGGAGAGAATGAGTCTGATCCTGCTGCTAAACTGAGTTTTCTGTGTCTGAGCATGTTGTGGGCTGATGGGGAACTTTGTATATTTTTGGAAGTTATACCAAGAAGATTGTCTTCTGAATTTCCAGAAGTATTATCCCTACTGACATCCATTACAATAAAAAAGCAAAAAGAATTGCAGGAAGTCATCCGGGTAAAAGAAAAGGAAAAAAAAAAAAGGCAATTCAGTTGTGAAGGAGAAACTTCCATTTGATTCAAAGCTATTCAATGTTAAAATTGGTTTGGAACTTTTCTAAAAAAATTTCACTAAGAATTAATTTCCGTTTTCTTTTCTCCTTATTGTTTGGCAGTCAAGGTTGCAGCTAGATCACGCTATCCCAAAGACCCATTTGAGTTCAAGAAGGAAACTCCCAATTCTCGGCTTGTGACCGAGCCAGGTGAAGGAGGACTGGGAACCATCCCCATTTTTAATCACTGCACTGCACCCCATAATATTTTACTTTACCATGCTAAGCTCAGTTGAAGAAGAGAGATGCACTCCTGTGGATTTCAGCTTGCATTTAGCTTGCTGGGCAGCAAAACACCAAAAGGGAAAACCATAAAAACAATTAATGATAATTAAAACGGCCCCACCCCCAAACTGGCAGCTTGCGCAAGACATTAGTCGGAAGCCCTGTTAGCTAGATGCCTTTGTGTTCAAACCACTTTGCATGACTCTTACTCTGAGTGACTCCAGTGTGAATATGACATTACTAATGACCTGCTAAGTGTGTTCAGATGTGGGTTTCTCCAGATGTGGTGATTAATAACATAATGGAGATAGCGGTTGACTCATGTTTATGAGTTGTTTGCCTTTTATTACGTTTCCAAGTTTATTTGCTTTGAACTGTTTTTTAACTCCAGCCAAAAAACTCACCTTTAAGCCTTAAAGGGCATCATCCCCTTAAATCTCACTGAGGAAACAGGGAAGAGAGAATGTGCCCCAGGCTAGCTGAGCATCAGGCCCATCCTATGTAGGCATTAGACTGAATTAGGGAAGGCTGGGAGTTGCAATCATTGCCCCATTTCACTCCAAAGATCGTAAAGAGGCTTTGGTAAACCCTAACACAGTGTTTGCAATCTGGCGAGTCTGATAAAGGAGGATATTTCTTTAAAAAAAAATCTAGTAAAATATATGATCATTTTGAAGTAAACCCAGAGTTCTGGCCATGGTTTCTGGAAGACGTTGCCTTGCTTTTGCTTTAAAACAGAAAGCTGATGAAAAGTCGAGTAAAATGTTGTTACAGATGTTCAACTCTGCATTAAGGCTGTTGGAATTACCACCACATCTTAAATCAATTCCCAGAACATTGTCTGGAGGTTATGTCATTGAAATAACGTATCCTCTTTAGTCAAGTATAAGCAAACATGTTAAAACATCATTGTAACTTTAAATTAAACTCTAGCGCAAACCAGGGGATCTGAAGCCTCATTAGACTTGCCTGACATTTTTCTAGCACTGAGTCTTCCCAAACTGTAAAACTGTTAGATTCAGTGCCTATTAGACAAGAGAGCGCTGGGAAGTTACAACAGCACATTAAGTGTTATACTTAGGGATGTGCAAAAACAAGCCCTTGAATTTTATGAGTACTTGGAGACTGGATGGAGTTCAGCTCCTATAAAAATTCCACGTTAGATTCCTGAACTTGTTTGTGTTCTAAAGAAGTCAGGTTTCTTTAAAGGATCGTATCTTTATGTGGCTTCCGCAGCACGAAGGCAAGTGAAAGTGCCAGAGATGGAGGTGTACTGTAATTAGCCAAAATGTGGGTTAAATAAGAGCTTGTAAATGTGCATCATCGTGAAGAAGTGGCCCATTACTTCAACACATTTGTCTTTCATGAAAGTGAGTAAATTTAGGTCTCCCTTTTAATTCCATTTTTATTCCTCTCATGTAGTCACCGAAGCCATGAAATGAAAATTATATTTTATAGCTTAACTAAAAGTTTTCCTAGATCTGCTTTCTTTAAATATGCAGAAATTGATAGGATCCATATAAAGGCTAATAATTAAATATAGTTTATATCCTACTTATGAAAAAGAAGTTATCACTGCCTCTCTTGAGGGGCCTAAGCCATATGTAATGGCCTCCATTACATAGCGTTCATATATTTAAGCTGGAGACGTTTTCCCCCGTCTCTTCAGGGAACAGATCTGCATTTTCAGGCTGTGAGTGCAGGAGGAAACCTTTAAACACAAGTTTCATTTTGGAGAATGAATCTCAGTTTAAATGCAGTATGATTGTGATGGATGATCTTTCTGAGTTGCAATGAAAATAAATAGTTTCTTTACATAGAAGAGGCACAACTTTTCTACCAGAATGAGGTGTCTCCCTGGAGCTGGCTAACAGGTATTAACTTGCAACTCTCCCATCTGAAGATCAGTATAGGTAAACAGCTAGCGATGAAGTGTAAAGATAATGGCCACTTAACCAAAGAAGATTATTTGTTATAGGTCCCGTGCAAACAGGGAAGCAAAGGCTAAGCAAAAGAATCCCACGGACAAGCTAGGGAGGATGACTTCTGTTCAGGTCTTAACTCATCTAGATTCATTGTGTAACTGGACACAACCATGGTAACATCTGGTGACCTTGAAAAAAGCTAGCCATGATAGACTAGGTTAGATAAAAGACCTTTGGATATGGGATTATAACCTTAAGAAGGCTAACTGAATTATAATCTCAAGATAAGAAAAACAGAACTTGCACCCTGACTAGAGCAACTCACATGCACGCACACAAACACACACGTTATTTGGTCCAGCATGCTACACAACCAATCTAGGTCACCCTGAACACAATACACCAATTGCAAGTGGCTCATATTAAAAGATGACCTTGTCTTATAGGTCTAGGCAGTGCAAGACTTTCTACTTCATTCTCAGATGGGGAAAGGGTGAAAGTACACACACACACACACACACACACACACACACACACACAGCCTTTCTACCCCATTATTGCCTTGGATGCCTGGTCCCCTATCCCGTGAAAGGAAGATGAATTCAGGTCAAGCTCAGAGTGCCTGTTTGCTTGCCGAGAGATGCATATCAACTCTAAGTGATTTTTTTCAATACCATTTATGTGGCTCGTATTTATTTCCTTTAATCTTTTAAGTGCTGTTTAGTCTCTGTGTGATTTGCTTTGGATACTCATTTCTGATAAGATGCGATATCATCCCAGCCACATAGTCTCTGCCTGGAGCTCTAAGTGACTGATACGGTCGCAGCCTGAGAGTGGGCCCTGGTGGGTGTCAGAGGGAGCAGGTGGTACAGGGGGTGGGCTGTGGGCGTTTGCAGGCGCTTTCTTGCCTTCATTTCTTCTGGTCTTACTCTCCCCTCACACCATAGTCATTCCCTTTTCCTGCGTCAGCCAGAATTTAGACAAGACCAGACTGACAGTAGGATAGGAGAGTGTAAAATGTGTAATACTTTGAAGCAGGTTCAGAGGGTAGATTATTAAAATCCCTTTAGAACCATGTATCATAACCTACTAAATATATTTAGGGTTTTCAGGGAAGTACCATATAATGCATGCTCTAATATGGGTCTTCCTGGATAATACCAAGTAGCTGACATGGCATTTTCTCCCCCATCTAAGACTCCTACACCATTAACATAGATCAAGCTTCTTTTGATGTCATCACTGCTAATATTTCTCTTCTTAGCTTTAAGGTAACTGCCGTGCATTCCGAGTTTCAGTGGTGCTTTCCTCCTAGTCTGTGTTGCAGTCAACTATAAGAATCTGAAGATCCTATTTTTCCTTCTTGAAATTACAGCTTTAGCCTGAATTGTGGGGGTGGGGAGAGGAGGACTAGAATTTTGCTGCTGATGCCCTTGGGTGAAGGGCTGGGTTTGCATCTGCTAATTATCAAGCAGTTCTCTTAAAAAGAAGCATGATGCAGGCTAATACATCTGCAAAGCTTATTAGTGGGTGTCTTTGGGCAAGAGCAGTAGAGCGTGCTGTGGTGTTTCTGAGTGAAGCTTCACATTGCTTAGCGATCTATGTGGTTTAGACGTTTGGAAAACAGCTTTTGGTTTCCAATCCCCTGTGCTGCCTGCCGCATCATCAGATATTTCATTCAATGGCAACCTCCTCCTTCATTCCGGGGCTCTCCTCCAACCCCACCAGCCCCGGTGCTCCTGTCTTCATGAGTTAAGAAAGGACCCCACTGGCACAGCCCCACAAGCCCTCACTCCTGGCGGTTGGAGGGATAAGAGCTGAGTTGGGCTGGGGATTCTTGAGCCAGCATGCGCCAATGTGCCGTGACCTGACTGAAACATTGGTTGTCAAGGCCTTGGATCCTTGCCTCTTTTCAGTGCTCTTTCTCTGGCATGCAGGGATTAGGAACCAGCTAAGTTGGTTCATCTGGAGAAGCAGCAGGCTGGCAGTTATGCTGATATTTCAGATACAACTTTATTTCTGATTTTGGTTACAAGAAAGCACACTCAATTACTGGGCAAAGCAAAGTAACCAAAATTAACTCTAAGAATAATGATTGTTGATAAGTTTTTTTTTTTTTTTTGATATACAGATAAATCATGATTTCTTTTTCTTTCTTTTTTTTTTCTTATGGCAGGGTATTTACAAACTGTTTTAGTCTATTTAAAGTGCATGTTCAAAGGCTGGAGTGTAAAGAGGTGATGCCTTCACCTTCTCTAAGTCAGCCTCTTTGACTAACACATTTGGTCTTTGTCATTGGGTCCTAAAAGACAGCCATGAATTCCTAGTGAGTGACTGAGCCTTGAGTGTGTGTCCTTTGATATTTTGCCTGTATTTCACAGTCTGCCCTCAAACTGTTCATAATCTCATGAGCTGCCTGTATTTCCAGTTGAAGATGAGCAGCCGTCAACACTATCACCAAAAAAAAAGCAACGGAACGGAGGCATGCGGAACTCACCCAACACCTCGCCTAAGCTGATGAGGTAAGGAGAGGGGCTAGTTGTACATGGTTTGCACACGGTTTCCCTCTTAGCCCCTTCTCTTCCTCCCTTCGCCCCCTCCTCACCCTGCCAGGCCCAGAGCCTCCCCTCCCTAGCAAGCCCAGATCGGGGGAGGGGGACGCGATAGTTAGATGGCTTCTTAAAGGCTGGAGTATTTATTCTGTCAGCTTGTCAGCAGTTAATGATAGAGCTGAAAAAATTCTGTCATGAAAAACAGTTTGAAAAGCTGTTTGAAAAATACATAGGCTTTAAAGTCTTAGCTGTCACCATGTCCTGTCTGTGTGTAGTTCCTAAACAGCAGTGGCACTAATGACGGCGGTAACCAATCAGAGGAACTCGTGTGGTTAGTTTGCCTGCGGCAGTCTCTTTCTGCTGGAGTCCCTCCGAGGACTGTTTTCTGTACTTAAGGCCATATGTGAGATGTATCATCACAATCAAAAATGAACCTGAAGATTACCTTCCTTTTATCCTGTCGATTGAAATCAAATTTCTGTTAATTGATTTTGACTGATAAAAAAAAAAAAGTCTAATAATCTGTGGACTTGCCAAAGCAAAGTTCAAAAGTAATCCAGTTCTGCTCAGGCTAAAAGCAATATTAATTATGAAATACAGCATGCATGTGCGTGTTCCTTCCCTCCCTTCCCTTCCCTCTTCCCTTCTTTCCTTCCTCCCTTCCCTTCCCTTCTTCCTTCCTTCCCTTCCCTTACCCTCCCCTCTCCTTCCTTCCTTCCCTCCTTCCCTCTCTCCCTCCCTCCCTCCCTCCCTCCCTCTTCCCCTTCCTTCTCTTCTTCCCCCATTCCTCCCTCCCTTTCTTCTCTTTCTTTCTTCCTCACTTATTTCTTGACTGTGGCTGCCTCTAGTAAAGAGCAAGTGAAATCAGATTTAACCAGTGTTCTGCAGTTTTCTGTTCTTGGATTGTCCATCTTTTATCTTCCTTTTTTGTCTTCAATTGATCTGCCAATCCCAGCATTGATTTCCTCCAACGTCCTGACTCTACCACCCAAATAAACTAGGAGTGATTTCAGATTTGCACTGCTCCCCCTACATGATACTGCCGTGGAAATGCCTGCCATCTTGACATTACTTTTCTCTTTTCATGACCACTGGCTGCTCTCCTCCCTTTGATTTTTGAAATATGATAGTGATTTCCATTCCCCACCTTCAATCACATTTTCATGTCGCCGGCCCTCCATGTCCACCTTTCTGGAAAATAGGCAAGGACAGTCTTTGTTCATGTGGTTGAAAGCACGGGTTCTCAGTGGAAGACTCACCCCACCTAACTCCTTTTCCACATCACCATCTATTCCTGTTAAATGTTTCCTTAAAAGTTCTCTGCCTTCCCATTCACCGTTCACCCAGCCTTCCTTGGGTGTTGCTGATTTACATGCTTGTTGACAGTTTATGAGGAGGAATAAAATGTGCCAACTGCCAAGCTTTTTGTTTTTATGATGCCAGTTGTCATGCCAGCATTCATTTCCTATTTACTCACCTTTAGGTAATCGCCTTATCTAATGCTAATAGTTATTCCCATTTAAAGTAGAGAAAAGCCCAGGCACTTTCCTTTGCCTAAATTTAGAGAAGCAAATAAATAAATAAAAAGAAGTCTGAAAAATCTGAAACCTTTGGAGCCAAATTCCCTGTCCCTGTTTGCTATGTAAAGTATGGCTCATTTCTTTGATCTTGAGTAATAATAATTCTGAGGAGTTATACTGTTTTCATATGCTTCAAAGCTGTGTCAAAGTTTTGCTGCTTAAGGGTACTTCTTTATTCTGTTGGCTCTTGGGTACCAAGATGACAGGTCTTCTGTATAAGGTGGAGGCTTTTTTAAGTCGTAGCCTTCAGCAAAACATCAAATTACCAAATCCAGGGTAACATACTTCTACACAAATGCCTTTCCTGTAGATGTATTATACCATATATATTAAATACTTTAGTGTTACACGCTACATTTTATGTGCAATAGAAAGTGATGGTTTGAGGTAGCCTTGGGGGGACTTTTTTTCCACAAGCAGAAAAAGCTAGTGTATATCGTATCAAGTATGGTTTTTACAGGACTTTCTGCCCGAAGGCCTTTGTAAATAAGTAATGATCAACAGATTGGCTGTGGGTTTTTGAAAAGCATGCCTATGTCAGTTTGCATGATGGGGGAGAATTTTCAAAGTGGATCTTGCTTTCATTCCCTGCCGGAGAGGGGCTGAGGGAGGCAGTCATCCTGGGCTGAAGCTGTCTGCTTCATGGTATATCAGAATTGCTAAACGTGGGTCAGGTGGTGAGTGGAAACTTGCCAAGCTGCAGAACTCGAGCTTCTCGTGTTGGTTGCCTTTGCGCTGTTGCTAAGGCCTCAGTTCCTGTCGCTGGGATGCCTTATCCCACCTGCCCACCATGGTCTCCTTTGCACCCAGCTGGAATAGGTCATCCCATCACAAGTGAGAAAGTCTTAGACACTCTCCTTTACCATGTCTTTTCATGTCCCAGGTGCTCCACATCCTCTACCTGATCTGGGAGCAAAGATGGGCCCCTGCTGAGCTCTCTCTCCATTTCCCTTTACTTCCAATGTACAGAAAAACCCCAGGGCCTTTTGGTTTGCATTTGAATATCTGGCACTGGCAGGGAAGTCATGGGTCCATTTTTGCTAAGTCCCTTTTGTCGACTGGCAGAAAACAAGGGCTCCCCCAGGTCCCTGTGGCTTTTCCAGTTGCCCCCACCTCTTCCACCACCTGATTTCTACTCTCTGATAGATGGGACTTTCAGGTCCTATTCCTCATGACCTGAAAAATCCATGAAGGAAGCTAATGACTTATTTGAAGTGGATTTTTCGACCTGAGTTTGTGGCTTGCAGTTTGAGCGAATCAATCATTCTGAATGTGGGCAGGTTTTAGTGGCCTATGGGCAGCAATAGGAATAGCTCCAAGAGGAACTGGAGAGCCCAGAATGGGCTAGGATGGGCTTTAATTTACCACTGTGGCTTCTGCAAATAAAACAGCTCCTGCGTGAAGGCTCCTTCCAAATCATCTGCCAGCTGGAGATGCAACGGGGACGCTGCCCTAATGGACTTTGTCTCCCCTTTGTTCTGGTATCAGGCTTCCCCTAGTGTTTGTCACTTAACTCTCTGCACGATCATTAGGTGAACAGCCTCCTTTGTATGTCTGGATCCTGAGGTAGTTTGTTTTTGAGTCACCTCGACAGAAACAACCTTCACGTCCAGACAGAGCCAAATGGCGAGTGTCTGGGCCCCAAGCCGAGGACACGCATGTAATGATGGATAAATGTTGGCCCCACGCCTGCCAAGGAGGAGCGAGCCATGGAGGCTCCTGAGTCCCCGACTCCCTCTGCCTGTTATTTCCGTTCCTTGCTGGTCTCTTAATGTGGAATTATTGAAGGAGCCTCCCCTAGATTCCTCTAAAATCATCAAGCACCCATTGCCCAGTTCTCCCTGCTTAGTGGGATGGTGCCTTGTAAGGGTAGCTTCATCTTTCCTCATTTGTAAAGCCTTAGGGAGGGGGCACACACTTTGTCTCTAAATGCCTAAGTCAAGAGTTCTTAATTTGGGGGCCTTCCCAAACCTATGAACCTTCAATGAAAACTTTCTAGGAAGTCTCTCTAGGAAAAAAATAAAAGTACACTGAATTCTGTTTTGACTGCAGTTGAAGCAGATTTTCACGGATTCCTGAAATCTCCATTCAAGATCCCTGGTTACGATCACATTCCAAAGCCACCTTCAAGTAGTTGCATTTACAAATGCTTTTTGGGTGATGAGATTTCTCCAGTGGGTGGGCGGCATGGAGTAAATGCCTGGGTTTTCACGCTGAATGCTCACATGGAAACCAAAAAGTCTGTGTGCTTCGTCTGCCTGCTTTTAATCCTTTTCTCAAATTAATTCCCATCCAGCAAATATTCAGTGAGAGCCTACTATGTGCAAGTTGTTGTGGAAGTTCTTTAAGGGATCTAAAGTCTAGCACACTTTAGATCCCTTAAAGAACTTCCGCACAGTCTAATGGATTAGACCAGATCCCTGTCTTCAAAATGCTTATAGTTCAACAGAGGAGAAGACAAGCACATACAAGCACAGAACTGAGTAACAACAAGTTGGGGGTTCCACTGGCATGGGCCGTGAGAACAGAAAGAACTGTCATTACCTCTGCTTTGGGAGGCTCAGCCTGGTTTAGGAGGAGGTCTTATTGAACCTAGTTCTATACAATGAGGAGGATGCTCTACTAATGGTATTACCTCTTTAGGTTTACCAGATGCCAGGCATTATTCTGAGACTGTGTATGCCTGTGACTCACTGAATCCTAACTACAACTCTGTAAGTAGATATTACTCTTGCCCCCATTTTATAGGTGAGGATGTTGAGGCACAGAGATGTAAAGTCTGGTAAATCTAGGTAAGTTTTACCTAATTAGGAAGATGGAGGACATAGGGACAGTGCTCAGACTGCAGTAAATGCCTGGGTGTGGCTGAAGACAGGGGTCTTTAGAGTGGCCTACATGGAGTGGAGAATGTAAGAGTATTCTGTCACCCAATCATGAAGGCTTTGTGTGTCATAGGCATTGGGGAATCCTTTACGGTTTTTTAGGAGGTGATAACCTAACTTGTATTTTGGGAGAATCATTGGTGACAGGAGAGGAGAAGGTTTGGAGTCCTCCCTCAGGATATTTCTGAGACACATACTACATAAGCACAGAGGTGTGAAATAGAAGGCCCATCCAACCCCAGCCTCTGCTAAGGCCATTTGGGTGCTAAGCCGTTCAGGGTTTGCTGTAGAATAGTAGATCAGGACTGGGATAGACAGTTTTCCCAAGGACACACTTCATTCCTGACATCAGTCCTGAGACCTGGAGTGAGATAGAGTGGCACAGACCATGAGGATTTATGTAGGATGTATCAGGTGGACAGTTTACACAGATAGCACGCAGCCGGGCTAGGAAGGATAATTGACAACTCCCAAAACAGAGAAATTGAACATTTTGAGGAGAGTTTCA